TATCTTTGTGGGATCGAAAAAAAAAAATAATAATAATAATAACAATAATAATAATAATAATAATAATAATAATAATAATAATAAAAGAAACCTTATTATTTGATACTGAATTTTTTTTTTTCCAACTGTTTGTTCAAATTCACGATATTCTATGGAATAAATCAGTTCCGCTGCTTAGTTTTATGAGATTCTTACAAATCGTCTCGTCATAAAATCAAAAGTATGGTTAGGTTCATATTCGTTCGTACCCTCCAACTATAAAACCATTGGAAGAGTTCAAACTCAGCAAGTAGTTAACAAGGCAAGCAAGAACACATTAACATAAAGAAGAATGATCTTCTTGATGTTGTCAGGGCATATGCACAGCCATCAAATCAAGATCCAGAAGAAATTAATGACACGGGAGGATGACAATCTCGCTTCTTCCCTACTGAAAACCATACAAGCAAATCCTCTAACGACCTTACTCAAGGACTGTTCTTCCAACACAATTTACCTCATCTCGAAGGAGAGGTTAAATTTACAAGAGGTGGTCGTATCTTTCTGGACAAAGCTATTTCTGTTAGAAACAATTTCCAACTGATCTTACGAGCTTGTAATTGCTGAATGTGCAGACTTCAAGCATGAAAATGCCCCCTCTCTACAAAACTTCCAAGAAAATCAAGAATGCTGCCAAATTACTTCGATGCCTACTAAAATGACCCCAGTAAACAGAAATTTATTGTTGAGAGAGAGAGAGAGAATTCGAAATGATATTTTCATGTAAGCAGATCTACTGGACGAGAGAATGGAGTCAGTTAATCAATTGTCAAAACAATCAGCTTACTTTCGAATAGTCCGAGGTTCAAATGTGGCACTATCATCTTCTCATTATAGTTCGGGAAATGCTCAGTTAGTAATCTAAAAATTCCTCCTCCTGAGAATCTAATGTTATTATTTACTCTTAGAGATCCACAGACTGAAGTACTTCATTCTGTAAGAGTTTATAATCCAGTAAATATTTTTCCTAAATTTCCAAAACAATACTGGTCATTAAATGTATACTCCGACTAATAGAATTAGCCTCAACCACAAAGACAATAAAGTCAAAACCTACGATATAAAGGAATATTTTTACGTGGCACTTTTTCACTTATCCAGGGAAAAAGCCCATCTCAACATATTTCGTTCGAAAGGCCATTTTTGGACCTCGAGTGTATAATATGAACTACTTAAAAAGGTTTTTGTCTCCAATTCATCATTCCTTTCACCATACAACCCAACCCACCCCCACTGCCTGCATTCCCTCTGTCCCCAGCTGCTGACAGCCAGACAGCATTCAACCCCCAGCCCCTTTTTTTATGCTTTGCTAGACTCTGCTAGAGAGTCTCCTGAGGACGGTCCGGCAAAGAAAAATACAGGGGAGGGACAATAGGGCTGGTTAAGGAACAGTGGAGAGAATGGGGTGAGGAAAAAGAAGGTGCACAGGTATATTTAGGTTTTGAAGTTAAAAAAACGAAAGGAATTAAATAATTTTGACTCTCCAGCTTGGTCCCAGACAATACCTTTATTAGATATCAAAATTATAACTTCCAGGACACACAAAATTGCGTTCCTTAGCAGTTTACTATTAAACTTTGTCCTCTAAGATTTTCATTATAGCAAGAAAAATTAACAGAATGCTAAAACCATGTTCTGCACTTCCAAACAGGTCCAGACCTAAGTCGAGTTAATAATTTAACTTGCATTTCGATTTATTACATTATCCTTTTTTCCAATGACAACAATCAAAGAAATGATAAAAATTAACTATTGGCAATGGCAATGGCAAGAACAACTGACACCAACTAAAGGCTCAAATTTCTACCCAAAGAAGTAGAAGTTCAAGGCACAGAAATACTCTAAAATGAACCGCGTGCATGTATCAAATGTATTAACATAGTTTAGTCAATCTTTTAAGTCTAATTATTGAAACGTTTGACTAAAGGAATTAATATCATCACCCTATAATTACAACAACAAAGATTTAGTGAAGCAGAAATAATCACTGTGATCTAGGATATCACTACCAGACAGCGGTAAGCAGAAATAACAAAAACGAAGCATTTTAGATTTCATAGCAAAGGCATTCCGAAACAATGCAGCTTGTTCAACTACAACATAGTAAGATCACTAAATACAAGGAAATTAAATTCTTTTTTATAACCAGAAAAATCTAGTATGGTTACCTTGTTGATCGGAAGACTACTTTGAGATAAATTTCACCACAGCTTCATCTTCTAGATTGTATTTCCCATATTCTCAACTGTGATAAGTTAGAAAATGTAATATGAGACACAGACAAACAAGGAGAAAAGGATACGTATAAAGGAAAGAAAATTCTTGACGTGCCTAATCAAGAATGAAACATAGAGCGTGTTTGGCGTAGCTTAAAAATAAGTAAAAGTTGGTTTCCAAAAATGTTTGATAACTTACTTTTTGTCTTACTTTGAAGTCAAGAAATCACTTGTTTTAAAGTAAATCTTAGCTTATTGTAAAAATAACTAATTCAATTCAAACTTTCACCAATAAAAAGACTATTTAGTTCAAACCTTGTTCGCTTATTAGAAAATTTATTTGATAACAATTATAAGCTTATCAAAACACGATCTCAAAGCACTCAAGAATGGATGCTTGTTGCTGATGAAAGTATTTAGACGACAATCTTCAACCAAGAACATAACGTTACCAAGACTGCTCAACTCAACATAACAAACGCTTAAGGTGTGTTTGGTTTGCTATTTTCAATTTTCAGTTTTGAGAAATGCCCAAAACTCGTTTGGTCTGGCATTTCATAAAACAAGGTTAACTTTATAACATAAAACTCAAAAAACATTTTTNTGAAAAAAAAAATTCTGAAAAAAAAATCTTGAAAATAAAATTTCTAAAAAAATAAATTCTAAAAAATAAAAAATAAAGAGTTTGAAAAATAAAATTCTAAAAAATAAAAGTTATAAAAAATAATAATAGTTCAAGCTCTTAATGGTTATTCTCATAAACAGTCTAAAAATATATTTAAATGAAGAAAGATAAAAATTCTCGTTCTACATTATTATTTTTTATTTCCTATATTTTGCCAACTAAATTTATTATTTGTTAATCGTTTTACTTTTGTAGCGAAGAAAATTGTAAGATTTATCAACTTTAAGCCCCTGTTTGAGCACTATTTTGAGAGAAAAAATGCATTTTTGAATAGTGATTTTTGGAGAATGTGTGGTTAAAAATTAAGAAAATTTTTTCGATTTACGAGCAATATTATTTTATTGGAAAATGTGTGTTTGAAAA